CGATGGCGGCGGTTTGGCGTCGGTGGGGTAGGGGTAGTGGCTCGGCTTCTGAATCCGATGACAGTAGCGGCGGGTTGGCGTTTGGGCTTGTTTGGCGTCGGTCCTGAAGACGGCATCTACCGATTGCGATGTCGACACCGACAAAGTTGGATCGCAGCTTGGAGGTGGTCTATTGCGGCTGCAAGTTGACGGATCCAGGTTGTGGCGTGAGGTCGGCCCTGGCGGCGTGGTCGAGTTTCGAGGTTTCCGTGGGTTGGCCAGACGCGCGGTTACTTTCGGCTCGGAGACCGGTTCCCCTAGTGGCTGCGGTATGGTGCCGGCCTGAGGTTCGAGGTCGGCGTCGGATAATTTCGTGCTGTAGCCGATGTGGCTAGTCGGGGAGGTGTGGTCGTTGAGGTCGGCAGTTGAGGTGCGGTTGATCGTGGTTACGACTGTGGTCGGCGATTTGGGCCTGGTCGGCCGTGGTTGCGACCGAGGTCAGCGGTTTTGGCCTGGTTGGCCGTGGTTGCGACTGAGGTCGGCGGTTTGGGCCTTGTTGGCTGTGGTGAGGGATCGAGTTCGGCCTCTGAGGTGTGTCGGGACCCGGCCGCTGTGAAGTTGAAAACAGGAAGTGGCGAGGATATGAGTTCAGCTCGGCAGCTTGTTGTTTATCTCGGGCTGAGGCATCGGCTCACGAGGTCGAACCGATTATATGATGGTTGTAGGTTTGAAGTCGGCAAAATCAATCCGACGGCTTGATGTGATGGATCCGGGCTGCAACCTGTGGTCGGCCTCGGCCCCGGTGGTCTTGGGGGCGGCCCCGGCGGCGAGGAGCTAATGTCAGCTCGGCACTTGATGTTTGTGGTGTGGTATCGGCCTGAAGTCCGAGGTCGGCACCAGAGAGTTTCGGGTCTGCTGCGGCCAAGAGAGCTGATCGTGGTGGTTGTTTCCATCCCGAAAACGGACGACACAGGTCGACGTAGGTTGTCGGTCAGCTGTACGGCAGTTGCTGAGGTCGGCTGACGTCTGCGGGTTGGATATTCAGAGCTCGTTGGCTGCAAAGGAATGTAGGTTGGCCGACAGTTGTGGGCTTGAATTTTAGCCCCACTCTTTTTTTTAATCATTATCATTATTATCTGACATGGTGTGATAAGAGTAACAGTGATAGAGACGTGGCTTAATGGTGTCCAAGCTTATTCTAATTTTTTTTTATTGAGCAGAAAGGAAAAGGAAAAAATAAAGGAAAATTTTCCTTGCGTGAACAATCAGCAAGCAAGGACGCAGAAAACATATCAAAGAAATTGCTCAATCAAAGAAATCAACGAAAGAAAATAAAATGGAAAATTTTGAGTGGGCTTTCTTCGACGTATGAGGAGCTTCAACACAGATACTTCCTTTTATCACAAAGAAGAGTCGAAAGAAAAAATCAAATTTCCCCTCTTTTTTTTTTAAAGCTCACGCCCAAAAATAGGATAAATTGAGATTCACATATATGGCCAAGGAGAGGAAAAATACTGGATTTTCGCGATTCTGATAAGTATATATATTATTATTATTTATTTATTTATTTATTGTTTTTCTGGATGAAGTGATGTATTCATGAAAAATTGGAGAAATGAATGTGGAGAAATTTTGGATGAAGGACAAACTTGGGGGAGAATATGTTCTCTGGTGAGGATGTGGTCGTTTTCCGGCGAAAATTGACTCCGAGCAAATTATGGAGCCCTCCTTCTAGCGTCAAACTGTTGATGTCGAAAATCGGACGATCAACTGTTAAATAATAGTCGAACTTCTTGTATAGAAGATGAAGAAGAAAATTATAAAAATGTTTGTATTATTTCTTTTTTCTTGGAGAATGAATCCCCTCTCTTTTGAGTTGTTAGGGGATGAAGAAAAAAATGAATGGAGTCCCTTCCTCTCTCTTCCTTTCTTTCTATATATACATCTCGGGTAAAATATACAGTACCCCTATGTATTATACGAAATCTGCGCGTTTTTTTCCTGTATTTTAAAAATTGTGTCAGACCCCCTTCTATTAAGGTTTTGCATGCGCGAAACACCCTAAACCGTCAAAGATGACGGAAGTGACGTGCACGCGCGTGCTGTGCGGCTTTTTCTTCATTTTTTCACCCCAAAGTGGCGAAAATTACTGTTTTACTCTTGAATTATGTGCAAAACCCAAATGTTATAAAATGTGGGCAACAAGATTCGAACTTGGGTTAGAAAGGAAGGGAATGGCCGCTCAACCACTAGGCCATATGGATGGATGTGTAATCTATTGAACATAAATATATCTATACATCATACTAAAATGAATTAAATAGTTTAAAAATAAGTAAATAAATAAAATAAAAGGATAGTATGTCAATTTACTATAAATTAAATAATTAATAATAATAATAATATAATAACTTCCAAGTTGTAATTTTGCACATTTGTGCGTCTGTTTTATAAATTTTCTATCGTTTCGGCCAAACCAATAAATTAAATTAACTTAAAATAATAAAAAAATTAAATTGAAATAAAGTAAGATAAAATGTAATGTATTAGCGTGAACTAAAATAAATAAAGTTATAACTAAATAAATTTTAAATGAGAAAAATAAATACAAAAATGAAATTAATAAATAAATAAAATTAAAATAAACTAATTAAAGAAAAATAAAAATAATAATTATATAAGATAATAAAGTATAAAAATTATAATGTAAAATAAATAATAAATCAAATATCTTATTATGAAATAATAAATTAAATAAATAAAGAACTGAAATTAATATAATATAATATAATAAAAAATATTATTTATTAAATAATTTTAATATGATTGACTCTTAATAAATATATTACTATTTAATGTAAAAACAAAATGATAATTTCATTTTAATAAATTAATAATATAAATGTAAAATAAATTGTTGTATAAAATTTCAATATACGTTTTAATGACTTGACGTAATATAATCTGTATAAATTATATTAAATATGTTGCTTGTACGGGGCGGGAACACCTCTGACGACTTAATATATAATAAAATTAATGATTAATTTAAATAATTAAATTTATAATAAAATTAAATAATAAATTAAATTAAATTAAATTTGTAATAAAATTAAATGATACTTATATATATAATATATTATTAAAGTATAATTTCGAAAATAAAATATTTTTTATTAAATAGATATATACGATTTGTATTTATTTATTTTAATTATTTTTATACTATTTAATATTTTTTTAAATCTTTTATAAATATATAGATTTACTTAATTATTATATTATTTATTATTTAACTACATTTTTATTACATTTATTTATATTTTTTTTAACATAATAAGTTATTTAAATTATTTTTTTCGTTTAATTTTATATAATTTAGTTTATTATATTTGAATTATTATAACTTTTTATTTTAATAATTTAATTTAATATAATTTATATATTTTAAATTTAATTTCACTTATCCATAACAATGTCCATATATATCAAACATTCCTAATTCTAACACTCAACCTTGAGTGGTGTAGTGGTTGCATTGCTTGTCTTGCTTCCATGAGGTACTAGGTTTGAATCCTAAGGGCTACAATTTTTTTTATTCAATTTCTCGCGATGTATTCAATATATCGTAAATATATGTATAATATTCAGAGGGTATAACAGAACTTTCGTAAATATATGTATAATATTCAAAGGGTATAACGGAACTTTTGAAGAAAAACTTACGCCGTTAACGGAGAAATAGAGACAAGGGAGCGTGTGCACCTGAAACCTTAATAGAAGGGGGTCTGACGCAATTTTTAAAATTCAGGGGGGAAACGCGCGGGAGAAACGCGCAGATTTAGTATAATACAGAGGGGTTGGGTGCATTAAACCCTATACATCACCCACCTTTTACAAGTGGGTAATCAATAAATAAAGTGTAGTACATTATTATTCAATGGGAGATAGTCGTTGTGGGACCCGTTTATAACTATTGCCAGTTCCGACTAACGTCTGTCCTCTTAACAATTGCGACGTTCACCGGAGGCGGCTCTTTGTAATATCTTCTTCGTCCGAATTCTTCAGCTTCTGTTCGGCTCAACAACGGACGGACTCGCCATCTTGAGACTCGGTCGACTTTTAGATGATCGGCCTTGGGTACCTGTTTGTAAATTTATTTAATATATATTTTCGGCTCGTTGGTTATCGGGCTATTATTTATTATTTTATTTATTATTTATTAAATTGGAGCAAAATTGAGTATCAAGTTTAGCAAATTAATCATATTTAATATTTTGTTATTTCAATTAAATTTTAATTAATATATATCATCTCCAAAATTAATTTATTTTGACGCAAGCATTTCTTCCGCACAAGTGACAAGCTCCCAGTCCCTGCGGCTTTTGTTTATCTTTTTCTTTTTTCTTCTGTAAATCCAAATCTCTACTTTTCGGGTCTCTTGCATAACAGAGCTTACCAATTCCGGCGTTTTCTCTGTAAATCATGGCGACTGCTTCAGGTACATCTGTCCTCCAATTTCAATTGTCGTTGTAATTAGTATAATTCCTCGGATTACGGATTTCTTTTTAATCATAACTGTTAGAAGACCTTGAATTACCGTCGATTTTGATCTCTCAGTAAAAGAACCCGTTTTTAGTGGCGTCAATTGTGTTATCTTTGCGCAAAAGCAAAAGGGTTTAGTTTATAACCCTGATTGAATTAGGGTTTTCTGACTCAGGCTGATCAAGTTCATCCCTTGTGCAATTCTGTTGTTTTCCTGTTAGTCTTATTCATGTGCTGAAAGAAGAAGAGATTTAGTTATTGTTTCTGGGTTGTAGTTTTATTTTGTGGGTTCTGAATGTTTGGGATTTATGGTTTCGATATTTCAGTGGCTTTCAAATCAAGGGAGGATCATAGAAAGCAGCTCGAACTAGAAGAGGCGCGTAAAGCTGGTCTTGCACCGGCAGAAGTTGATGAGGATGGAAAGGAAATCAACCCTCACATTCCGCAGTATATGTCGTCTGCTCCTTGGTATCTCAATGCCGAGAGACCAGTATGTTGCATTGTTATACTTGGTTTAATATTGCTCTATCTTGTGATGAAATAACTCGAATATATGGTATCCTTATGTGTCTTTTTTTTTTTTNCTTTGTCTTGTGTAGTTATGTGGGGTTGGACAACTTCTGTTTATTCCTGAAATGCATTTTTTTATGTGAGAGAAAAAAAAAAAAAGAAACATTTTTATTGTATTTGTTCTTGGCAATGTTTTGATGTATGAAATGCTTGAACTAATATTAGTTGGTTTGGAGGATTTTCTCTTTCGCGTTCAAACATCCATGCATTATGGATTGTTTCCAATTGTTGGAGAGTATATTTTTTGTGATTTTCTTGCTGTTGATGCACAATGTATGCATGATACTGCATTGTTATGGCTTTTGATTGAGTTTCTTTGCTGCTACTCCGGATATGGGTAAAGAAATTTATAGCTATATGATGCCACATGCTATTTAATGTGTTGCCATTCGTTTCTCAGTGGGCATTGTGTGGTGACTTCCATTGCATCCTAATATATTTTATCTTTAATCACGGTCACTCCTAACCTAACTATTATTTACGATTGTGGCTGAAAGTATATGTAGGAACTAGCATCTTATCGGCTTGATTTTTTTTTTTTTTTTTTTTTTNAGTTGTCATTGTGGGTTAACTTTGAACTTGTGACAGTTGTGGCGCTATGACACATGATAAGAAGTCATGCGTCGAGAGGCCACGTAAAATGGGAGCTAAGTGGACCGGCAAAAGTATTGCCCCCGATGAGAAGATAGAGAACTTTGAGCTCGATTATGATGGGAAGAGAGACCGTTGGAATGGATATGATGCTGCTTCTTATAAACACGTAATTCAAATGTATGAAGCCAGGGATGAAGCAAGAAACAAATATTTGAAGGAACAACAGCTCAAAAAGCTGGAAGAGAAAAATGGTAATCAAAATAACGAAGATGGGGTCAGTGATGATGAAGACAATGAGGATTCTCTGAAGATCGATGAGGCTAAAGTTGATGAGAGCAAGCAAATGGACTTTGCAAAGGTTGAAAAGCGTGTGCGTACAACTGGTGGTGGTAGCACTGGAACTGTTAGGTATTATTTTGATATACACAATTATCTCTTTACTGTTCTCCTTTAAATTATTATTTTGATGTATATAATATCTCATTACTTTCTCTATGAATTTTATCATAATATCAGCGGACATATTGTAGCATGGTTATGATATTAGGGTTTTTGTTAAATGAAGGTTTTGCAATGTACTTTTACAGAATTAACGATTGCATGTACATCTCACGATTCATCTTATCTNTTGCGTATTCGAGAGGATACTGCCAAATACCTACTTAATCTTGATGTTAACTCTGCCCACTATGACCCAAAGACCCGTTCAATGCGTGAGGACCCTCTCCCAGATATGGATCCAAATGAGAAATTCTACGCCGTAAGTATATTTCTATAATAATAATTAGTTTTTTCTGCTGTTCTCACTCGCCTCTTGATTTTAAAATGGCTTGCTTATGTTTTTTTGTTTATGATATAGGGTGATAACCAAAACAGAGTTAGTGGCCAAGCTTTGGAATTTAAGCAGCTCAATATTCATGCTTGGGAAGCATTTGACAAGGGACATGATGTCCACATGCAAGCTGCTCCGTCACAAGCCGAATTGCTTTATAAGAACTTCAAGATTAATAAGGAGAAGTTGAAGTCTCAAACTAAAGACAAAATCATGGAGAAGTATGGTAATGCTGCCACTGATGAAGTACTTCCTCGTGAACTCTTACTGGGACAAAGTGAGAGGGAAGTTGAATATGACAGAGCTGGTAGAATCATAAAAGGCCAGGTATGCACGACCATTCTTCTCTGGTGTTGATTAGATTAGCAGTTTTTTTTTTTTTTTTTAGTAATGAACTTTTCGAATTATCTTCCTTCATAGGCATTTGACTGTAGTGAGCTATATCAGGTGAATTATCTCCGACTAGACATAATTGCAATAAATGGGTTGCCTTTTCATGTCATAATTGCAATAATTAACCTTTGCTGCATCATTTATCACGCACATAAGTGATTCGAACTTCCTCAAAAGGTTAAAAAGCCATGAAAGCAATGAAGTGCAGAAACCTTGGGGACTTAATCGTATTTCGTAACACATTTTTTCTTTCACTAAAGTTGATATTATCTGCATATTCTCCTTTATCCTTTCCTGTTAAATTTCTTTTGTGAGAAATTTCGACACATCATCTCTAATTCATGGGTTTTTTTTTTTCCAGGAGATGTCACTCCCAAAGAGCAAATACGAAGAAGATGTTTATATCAACAATCATACAAGCGTGTGGGGCTCGTGGTGGAAGGATCATCAGTGGGGTTACAAGTGTTGCCAACAGACGGTTAAGAACAGCTACTGTACAGGTGTTGCTGGTATTGAGGCTGCTGAAGCCTCAGCAGATCTCATGAAAGCAAATATTGCACGTAAAGAAGCTGCTGAAGGTAATAATAATTAATTTCCACAATCGCCTCTTAACATCTCATGATTGGTTAGTTGTTGCTAGCATCTGCTTTTTTTTTTTTCTTTTTTTTTAACTGAATATGAAAGATTTATCTTTGAAACCAGAATCATCTGTACCGACTGAAGAGAGAAGGATGGCAACTTGGGGATCCGAAGTGCCTGATGATTTGGTTTTGGACAAGAAGAAATTGGCCGAAGCCCTTGAGAAGGTGAATTTGTCAATTCTGATTATTATTTTTCATTATTTGATTTTTGGCTGAAACTTTTTCTTTTTTTTTCTATATATATACATATATTTGGAATTTGGATGAAGTAAAATGGTACTTAAAAATGTTGTTATTTGTTCATGTCACAGGAGGATGAGAGGAGGAGAGAAGAACGGGACGAAAGGAAGAGAAAATACAATGTGAAGTGGAATGACGAGGTGCCTATACAATCGGCTTTGGCTTTCCTTTGTTTTTTTATACTATTTCAAGTGATTCGACTAAAAACTTTTTTTGAACTGTGTGCAGGTAACACCTGAAGATATGGAAGCCTATAGAATGAAGAGGGTCCATCATGATGACCCAATGAAAGACTTCTTGCACTGAAATTCGATGATCAGATTTNAAAAACAATGTGGCTGTGGTTACTGGATCACATATAGTTGTTTGTTGATCCAATGGTAAGGAAGCCGGGTGAGGGCAAGGATTGAATTTTTCGATTTGTGGCTGGGCACTTCTTTTTCTAAAAAAGAATGATGATAATCAAGATTTAAGGAGCACAATTTGACTGATTGAGTATTGAAAGGAGCAAATTTGTAATAAAACTCTGTACATGGTTACTGTCTTTCTGTATGTTGAGAAAGTACATTTGACATGGGAGATGATATGCTAGCTAGGCTATTTTCTGACTTCTTTTTATGTCTTCAAGTATTATTATTTATTTTTTATAAAACCATAATCTCATCATTCTTTTAATTTTGTCCCTACCTTGGATGCATTATTGTTGTGATGTTGTGTAATATGTTCTTTTATCTGTATAATTAACATAAATTAGATCATGTATGTACTAAGATAAAATGTTACTCAATTATTGTAATCACTTGATTTAACAAGTAATGTTTAGTGGAAATCAACTTCAACCATGAACTATCTATATCAATTATTGAGGATCATCAAATCAACAACTCTAGACAATCAATCAAAGTGTAACTATGTAAGTGTCTTCAATTACTGGCATTCGTTTCCTTTAAACTAAAATATATTCATATACTTTTTAAGTTTGAAATTTTACTCTTAAAAGTAATATAAACAATAATACAGACAAAAATATATGCACATTTATTGTAGAATGGTCATCCCCTGAGTCACCTGCCTATTTTTTCTATTTTCATTTTTTCCTAGCTTACCCAAAAAGAAAGTAAAAAGAATTAAAATAGCAAAACCAGCAACTAGCAATGATAGTGGAAAACAAACTAGAAAAATTACAAGGATTAGGAACACAGACAATGAAAATTACATAAGAAAACATGATTTAAATTCAAACCTTTTTCTAACATAACTAAAAAAAATGTCCCCAAAATCAAATCCATTACACCCTTCCAAAATCCCAAAAGATAA